AGGATGAACACATCTCATATGACAGTTTGTATACTAACGATAAATGCCATTCGATCTTTCTCTCAGAAAGCTTGCATTACATTTATTACCCGATTCATATTTAACTTCATAATGATTCAAAATAAGATTGTGAGTGTCAATTTGAAATACGCTACCATTTTATAATTATTATGCGTATTATTAAGTCGAGACGACCTCTTAGGTCATGATAATGACAAGTTTATTTTTTTAAATTTAAAATGCTAGTTGTCAAAGAATAACTCATATTTGCAATTGAAATCAAATATTACTAATTAGTAACGTAATTTATTTAAAGGAAAGTGCTAACTTGAGCAGAGCTATTGAATGCAAATGATATGACAATCAGTAAATTACCAGAATTGTTTGGCAAGTAAGAGGCCAAATTAGCACTCATCCATTCTATGTGGCTTATTCTAATTTAAAATATAATATAATTTGACAATTATTTACTAAATAAGTCATACAGAATACAAGTAATGTAGCCGATTGGAAGGAAAAATACATTTTTAACTCAGTTAATAGCCCAATATAAAATTGATATGGAAATGGTTTAAATTGCCTTGATAATCAAATATGCCCTCTAGATGAATACCATACCACGCTGATTAAGAGGATGGCAACTTGTTGCCAAATTGCGCAAAATCATGTTTAATTTTCTGTTGAGGTGTGAGGCCAAAGTTGGTTAAGATTTCGGTCCACTCGAGAAAATAAAACATATTAGAATGTAAGACTAATTTAAATTAAAAGAAAATTGGATTTCAAAGAATTCCTTAGTGATATATTCTGAAATGACATTCCATTTCGAAGGTGAAGATGGTTGCAAGGAGTTGGTAATGTGCTCTCATCGGAAACCGAAGGAGGATTACCACGTAGGGAAGACTGTTGTATTGTCCAAAGAAGTCCTCTATTCATAGTACCGCGATGAAACTGTGCTAAGCTCTCGTCTGTACTGTGACAGACATTATCAGAGCAAGAATTCATACTTTACGAAATAAGGCAATATATACTAAACAAAGAGAAAGGTTGGAAGGCTGCAACCATAGCCAGTTTATTTATACACCAAACTTCGCGATATTAATGAGGCAAGCAAGGATTTGGTTGGCTACTCTAACATTACTCTACATGGAAGTTGTTTGACCTTGTTTTAGCAAATTGGTCATATTGGTAGGAAGATTTAGAGGAACGCACCCAGTCCGGAGTCCATTTTATGCATCATCATTTCCAAAGTAGGACCGTGGACGTGGTACATTCCCAGACGTTTCGCCGGCATCGTCAGTATTGCCCTTCTTAGCACCATACCACAACTCGTCAAAACACAAATGAAGCCGATCCTCTGACCAAATGTGTGCTAAACAGTTGTGGTATCTCTCATTCTCTCATGGACTATTCACCTTTCTCATATTCTCGTATCACGCCTTTATCATCACCATTTTATTCCTTACTTATTTAAATCTAGTGTGGTGTGTCCTTTTGAGCGGCTTTTGTGAAAACCCTACACGCTTTATGCTGGCCCCCTCATCCCCCTTA